AAGAAATTTTAAAAAGAGCTTCATGTTCCTAGAAAAAAACATAGGAGAGCTCATATTTCTTTAAGGAAGCAAAAAGTATACTGGCTGAATATTCATGCACTATATGTATGTGTGTAAATTCCCTCAGTAGCTGGCCTTAAGAAGTGGTACCTGCCCGGCCAGGGTGAGCGAGCAGGGTCTCTGCGACCCCTGGTGAGCAAGACCCAGTACTGCAGTCACTCTGGGAACGCAAGGTGGAGCGGGGAAGCCCACTCCGGTGCGGTCACGAGAGGTCGGGAGCTGGGAAGAAGCCCGGCGCTGGTTTCAGGGGAGACAGTGGCACGAAAAGCGGAGGAAGGCAGGGGCGAGCCCCATCTGGCTGACCTCGGGTCCTCTGTGTCCAGATCCTTTTTCTGCAGGGGCCAGGTTGAGGCCCCAGCGCAGTGTTGCTCGGATGCCTATTCCAGACACGCCCCGGGACAGGGACATCCTGGCACTCAGGAGGGAGCCCCGGGCGACACCGAGTCTCCTCCGAGGGAACGCTCCGCACTGCCGTGACCTCTGGGAGGCGAAGGGGCCAGGCGCGCGCACAGCCCCGCACGGCTCCGAGAAGCCCCCTTCCCTAACTTCTGCTCTATGTTCTCGCTCGAAAAAAAAAAAAAAAAAGAGTGGGCTGTTTACTTAGCATCCTGTGGTCTTGAGTAAACAAGCATCTAATGTCAGACAGCGAGACAGGGAAGGAGAGAGCCGAAGACAGAAATCAAGCAGAGCATAAAATTTGCCCTCACGATCGCCATTTTCAATCATTTATGATCGCCATTTCGAGATTTGTGGGTGCATATTTTTCTAAATTCTGTTTAGGTCCCAGGAGTTAGGAGAGCAGGCCCAGGGTCTGAGAGCACAGGTTCCTCTGCAAAAGGCAGTGGAGGAAATCCTGAAGAACACCTGGCATAGAGAAATGATTGTCATTGACTTTAGGGTGACATGGCTAGGGATTGCCCTCAACAAAGTCCCCAACAACACATTTTGGAGTTTCTATTTGTAAAAATATCTACTTGGCTGAAATAGACATGTGCAGAACAGTCTGAGTTCTAAGATGACCTCCAAGATTCCCACCACACCCCCACCACTGCACATCTTGTATAACCCCTTCCCTTTAAATGTGGTGGGTGTGGCTGTGATGGGCTGTCGCTCCATGACTCATTTACATTACCAAGCAAAGGTGGAAGGATTTGCAGCATAGGGAGCTTATCCTGGGTGGGCCTGGCTTAATCAGGTGAGGCCTTAAAAGAGGCTCTGCCTCTTTTCTTAGGTTGGAGAGACACTCTCCTGCCAGCCTTGACAAACAACCATGTTGTGAACTGCCTGCAGAGAGGGGCAACCTTTGAGAGCTGAGGGTGTCAATCCTACAACCAGAAGGAACTGAATTCTGCCTGAAGGGACTTGGAAGAGGATCCCAAGCTACAGAAAAGAACAAGCAGGCCGACACTGTGACTGCAGCCTTTTGAGACCCTGAGCAGAAACCCCTGCTAAGCTGTGGGTTTCCAGACCCACAGAAAGTCAGAGAGAAATGTGTGCCATTTTAAGTCACTAAGTTTGTGGTAATTCGTTACACAGCAATACAACAGTAATACTGTCTGCTTAAAGCTTTGACTCATTTAAAAACAGGCTGTGCCTGATGTATGTGAGAGAGGGAGAGAATGATTTAAAACATGGCCTCACTATATTTGCATTATAATTAAAAATATGGACTATCATTCATTCAACAGGTATTGAGTGAATACCTATTTACTATACGCAAGGCAGTGGAATGTAATCAGGATCAGAAACCAAAACTGGAAACTTGTTACTGCTACTACGTAAAAGAATTAAAGGGAAAATGTTAAATGTTGAAATATAAAGCCTCCTTACATATTCTTATAAGAGGTTATGCTTCCCAAGGATAAGAGTTTGAGAGAGTGAATGAATAACAATGACAATAATAATATGATAATAACAGCTAATGTTATTAAGTGCTTAGTATATGCTAAGCACTTTATATTATGCCTCTTCCCATTCAATCCTTGTAACATTAAGAAGTAGGAAGTTGTTATCTTTCTTATTTTTAGGTCACAGAGGAAGATACTAGGAATAGGAAGGTAAATGATTTATCCAAAGACACACAGCTGGTTTTGGCAGAACCAGAATTTTAATCCAGCTCTGTCCAGCAAATTCCATGCAAACAAACTTCTGAAAACCTACCGTCTTGTCTTGCTGGACCTTAAATGGTCCCTTTTGTTTTTAATCCCCTTCACTACCCACCTGCCAGAGGATGCCTCTCCCTTTCATTTTACTGAGACAATGGTGGCTATCCATGTCTGTCTCCCCAAATTTCCTCCAGACACAAATAGAGAACAAGAAGAAAAATTAAAGCTGAGCAAAAACACACCCTCAGCATAACTGGAAGAGAGAATGCCTAAACTTCAAAATCACTGTAAGTAAAAAAAGAAAAGAACTTCCCCATGAGCAATCTTGCACATCCAAACTCCCCAGGAGTCTCTGCCGGCAGCGAGGGTGGGCCTGTAGGCATATCTTCTGGGGGAGAAAAAGGAGCAGAAGGATGGGAAAGATACCCTTTCGCAGTTGAGTGGTCCTGGAAGCCAAGAGAGAACTTAAAAACATCAGAAATACCTCATTATAGATTCTTTAGCAAATGGAAGACTTTGTGTATTTGTAGCAGAGTAAGACTGCCCCCCTCTTCGGTGATGAGCCCCCTCCTCACTTCCTGTTCATCCCCCTCTGCCCCGCCCCCACCATCAAGCATCAACCAGGCTTCTCTCTGCTTGTTGCCTGGGAAGAGAAGACTGCGGAAGGTGGATGGAGGGAATCTCTTACTGGATTTGGATTTCAAAAAGCTAACTATTTGGATCTTCTTAAGGGAATGCAATAGACTCAAAAGTAAAGGGTTTGAGAGAAAACATGAGGAGTAAGAGCAAGATTCCCTCCTCCCCTATGCACCCTCCACTGCGCCCCCCCACCCAATTCCAACTAAAAAAATTTTTTTCCAGCATGGGAGGAGGGGAGACATCACTGGGTCCCAGAGGAGGAGCCCTGTACCCTCTTCCTTGCTCCTATTTTAAATCTCAAGGGTCCAGAGAGGTGTGAGGTTGGAGGACACTGTGACCATTTCCTCTGCGACTATAGAGTTGCCTCTACACTGGAGGCAAGACCCCGGAGAGAAATGGACCCTAGATGGTCTCAGAGCTTCCCCGAGCCCCAGCATGGTTCAGGAACAAAATTCCACAGAGAAGTCATGGCAGTGCTGATGGGATGGACCAGGGAGGATGGAGGCCATCACACAGGCGATCGCAGCATTAGGAGGCCACAAGGGAACCGTCTCCAGGAAAGGCGGGCAGTGGCTCAAACTGACGTAGGACCAGCGCAGCCCAGGGATGCCTGTGTGGCTGCACAGCATCAAAGACAAGCTGGCCCCTCTGGATGTGTTGGCCCCACAGAAACCCTGAGAACTCAGGAGAGCAGGGGAGAAACGACTACAATGAAACGTCTCCCTCCTGGCTGACGGGGCCTGAGTCTGAAGTGGGGAGGTCCCACGGCCTTCCTGACTCCAGCCTCCATGTGAGAGTTAGGACACTGCTCTGGAGCACAGGTTAGGGAGCCCGGATGGGGAGGCCAAGCAGCACTTCCTGGCAAAGTGCTCTGGCTGTGCTGCAGAAGGAAGGGAGAGGTGGGAAAGAGAAGGGGTCCCACAGCCCAGGGATTCTCAGCCTGATGAGCCAGCATCAGACCCGCTTCCATGACAACAGACGTGATTACAGCTCTTCATTTTGAGAAACAGCCCAATTGTCAGCACCCCGTCCTTTTTTCAGTCTAGCAGCTAGATTCCTCAGTTCCCCTGGAAGCTGAGGAGGGGTAGTGGGCAGGAAGAAACTCAGAGGCTGTTCCCAGAGGGCCTTCCCACTCAAGCTCCCAAGTGGACAAGACTTCCCGCATCCCAGGTAAAGTGGACATACAATCACCCCAAAGCCAGCCCTGCTGGTCCTTAGCGTCCCCAGAACAGAGACGCGGAACAGGTTGCTCCACATGGGGTGTAGTTCACACTGCATGCCTGCCTTCCCCACCCCAGGGCATATAGTTCTTTACCTTTCCTCTCCATTTTTTGTAGAACCCAGCAACTCCTAGGTGGAAAGGGAAATATTACATGGATAAATCACTTAACAAAGGCCTAACCAACCCCTGGGACATGTCACCTTCATTGCTGTATCTGAACTCACTTAGTAAGCTACTTAATACAACTACTACCAGGAGAAGTAAAACATGTCCTGTCCTGTAACATGAACACAGAAGGACAGGGAGGACGTGACCCCCAGTGCAACCTGACAGTAATGGTCCTGCTCTGGGAGAAGCATGACTGTACAATCTCTAGAAACTAGGTGTTTAATGACTCTGCATTGCCTTCTCCCTCAAGGAATAATAGCGCCTGAAGGAAACGAAGACCCAGTACTACGCTGCTCAGAATGTGGTCTGTAGACCAGCAGCAAAAACCTCACCTTGGGGGCTTGATGGAAATACAGAATCTCAGACTCCACCCAGCCCTGCTGAATCAGACTCTGTCTTTAAAAGACTGCATATCCAGGAGTAGCAGGCCTTTGACTGCAGAGAGAGGAAAAAGCCCAGAGAGGATTAAGAGTAGGAAGACCCAGTGAGGTCATTTAAGAGTACCTTAGATGGCAGGTGTTCACTGCATCTACTAATTTCTTAACCAATTATTATCTGACAGTCAAGGAAAGAAAACTGGAGACCTAGAGACTACAATGTGTGACGTGGTCCCAAAACCATCCTGCCTGATCCCAGAGTGTGGCCCACGTGATTTTCAGCATATAACCATTCGTAAGTGAACTAGAAGGCGAGGGGACTTACCCACCTGCCACTTCCCCCCCGAAATCCTTGACTACTACCCCTTGTCCCTATGAGGCCTTTCATGACAACCCTAACCCCCACCCCCATCTTCCCTCCTCAGGAGAAATTGTTTTCTACTTTATTCTCAGCATAAAGTAGGCACTCAATAATTGTGTGCCAAATAATGAACGTGTTGTGCTAGCAGGCTTTGATCAATTAGTGATTGTAATTGAAGCTGAATGTAATTAATTATGTAATTTGGTGCCGTTCAAGTTGAATTTTACTAAAATTACATCCTGAAAACGGGGTTAGAGGAAGGTTTGCCGATAGAAGTTAAGGAGCTATGAGAAAAGATTCCACGTACAGCAGGTGCGCATTGCGCTGGACCCCCTGCCAACAATAAAGATTCACCTGGCTGTGTTAACTAGCAGGTTCCGATCCTGAACCCCATTTGAACACAGAGTCCAAAATCAAGGACTTCACTACAGTCCCAGGTCTATGCAGTGGTGGGCACTCTCAAGCAGTGGACTCTGTCAATCGGGGGACATTCATTTGCCTTGATCTGCTGCGTGTTTTCCACTTTTCATGCCACATGAATCTCTTTTCTACTCTAACAGGCTCAGAGGTGTTCAAGCAAAAGGAACCTTAGGGTATCTTTAGACCAGTGGTTTTCATACCAATCAGACCCAACAATATATATATATAGTTATGTAGGTATATTATAGTTTCTGTGGATTTCACATCATCATATAAATCCACTTCATTGTATAGTTACATATATATATAATTTTTTAAGTCAGATTAATATGATATAGGTGGGTCACACTGGCCATTCAACACAGATTCCACATTGCCATTGGTTATGTGCTTTTCTAAACTGGTGAACAATAATCCTAAGGAAAACAAATCCTCCATCAATTCTCCTGGTAATTGCATTCCTGTAGAATTCAATGGGTATTAAAACCATGCAAAAAAGCTTTGCCTTTACATGTAAAACAGAGTTGGTTTGTAGATTCAGTTCATTAGAAGGATCATAAGGGTTTATTCATCAGTACTTTCACCACGTGAATATCCTGTGAGGCATCTGGAAATCACACAGGTAACAGGAAAATTCCTTGTCTAGTGAAGCTGTGCTCTGCATAGGAATACATCTAGTGTCCTTGACTCCACTGCTTGATGCCAGAAAATACCCCCAGTCATTGTGATCACTAAAAATGTCTCCACACATCTCCAAAAAGTGCCTGGTGGGGGGACCGGCACCACCCCCTCCAGAAACACTGATGTAACCCAGTCTCCTTAATTTGCAGTTGAGAAACAAGAGGGTGAGGGAGGAGGATATTTGCCCTACGTGACTGGCCAGTCAGCACCCCCAGGTCTCTGGACTCCCAGCCCAGGAGCCCTCTAGTTCCATGCTGTAGCTTTCCAAGCTGAACACTGTCAGAGGAGATTTGGCTGTTGCTCAGAAATCCTTTGGGTTCTAATGTATGGACTAAGGATGGCTCACCACATCCCAGAAGATAAAACTCCCTGCAAAAGAAAAATTGGCCAGTGTCTAAAAGGCCTCTAAGCTAGGGAATGACATCCCAATGCCTTTAAATCAATCTGTTGAAATGAGCCCAAGATGTCTCCTCCCCATCACCAGAAAGCTAGGCATGTTCTCTCACTGTGGAGTAGTGAACTTGTTTGTCCATGTGCATCAATGAGAGCCCCAAAACTATCCCAGGTAAAGAAAGGATCTTACTCTGAGAATAAAAACAGCAACTGGCCATTACATGCCAACACTACTCATTCAGTAGCAGTTGACTGCTATGCTATGGTAAGAAGGATTCTAGAGTCATATCCCAGCTTGACCCAAAAGGACACAGAGATCAGTGTGTAGAATTGGCATTCATAGATCATGGTAAGGGTTGGCAGCACCATGCCAGGTATTTGCCATACCTGTTTTAGAACCCCAGGCAAATCCTACCTATTTTCCTAGGTCAAAAGTTTGTTACCTTTATCGATGATGGTCTATTTCATTCCACTAGATTCTTTTGTTTAAAATTTGAGGCAGATGCCCCCTGCCTGATGGTTGACACAGTTCACTCCTGAGATAAATTGCTACAAGTGGTAGTATTAGGATCTTGCCTCAGAATTTCACTCACTCAACTCAGTACACACAAATTGAGCATGTTATTTACCAGTCATTGGCAGGCCTGTCATACTGCATATAAGAATCATCCTTTTTCAAGGTCCCTAATTCATAAAATAATATGCATCATACAAAACTCAACATTAATACCCACCATTTTCCATCTGAAATTGATGTGCCCTTAGTTAAGAGATCAAGATGACACAGTGCATAACAATTGATTGTAATTAGTGTCTTGAATGTTTCTTGCTAGGACAGCTATGTTTTGAGGAAAGTGTCTTTAGACAAATGGCTGAATATTGGTTACCTTTAAGTTAATGAAAGTATGTAAACTAGAAAAAGACATCTATAAGAATACAAACTAGTCATTCAAAAAAGCTGCCTGCTTAATAAATACTCATTAGAAATACAAAATTAAGTCAAATGCTCTTGCATGAATTGGTTTTAAAATGAAAAAAAAAAGCAAAAAATAATCAGTAAGTCAAATAGTTCTGAAAATATTGGAGAATACTTAATTTGAGGTGAACTGGTCTTTGGGAGAATCGATCCTTAGGCAAAAGGGTTTTTGGCAACATGACTGCGCAAGCTGGCTTTAGGTGAAATGAACAACAGCCAGTTTGGTAGGACAAGACGGGAGGCAAGGAGGACTGGGGAAGGGGCCAGATCTGAACCAGGATGGTGGTGGTAGGGAAGTGGGGGGACTGCTGAATAGAAGACACACAAGGAAGCAGAGTCTTCGGGGGGATTCCATGAGGGTCAAGGAGGGATAAAGGCTGACTCCTGCCTTTTAGACCCAGGTGACTGCTGATGGCGCCACGCGCCAAGACAGTGAATGCATGCCCCTTGGTCAAAATGAAATTTGGGGAAATACTGGCCCAAAAGAGAAACACAGAGCTGGTCTGATTAAATTTTGCTTCCATTCCAGATGGAGCTGTCAACTGGCATCACTTGTCCCAAAGAGTCGTTTAAATCCCTCCTTCTCCTCCCGGAGCACAGATGCCCAGCTCATCACGGCCTCCACATGAATAGCCTCCCTCCTTACCCAAAGCCAGCTCCTCTTGTCAGAGAGGCCACAGGCCTGTCCAGGCAGGCATCAAGTCCAGTCCATGTTGTTTCTCCACTCCTCTCCCCAACAAATGGGCATTGAAGGAATGCGTGCTACACGCATGAATCAAGGCATGTGTGAGTCACCACACAACCTCCAAATAAAAGGCCTACTATGGCCTCCACTGTCCTGCTGTCACAGAGATTGCAAGAGACAAATCTGTGTTCCTTGCCCTCCAGGGAATGCATAGGGCAGGTAGATAATAGCATGTGGACGATGGGAGTGGAGAGAAGTGTCTGGACAACTGGGAGAAAGAAGCGGCTGATCAACAATATCAGACTGGTCTTAAGAGGCGCCCTACAGAAGGCAGGGCTTGAGAGCTGTCACAAATGTAGAAAGCAGACGGCTTGGCTATAAGGAAAAGCAGAGAGAGGCAGAGTGAACAAGAACAAGGCCAGGGAGAGGGGTGAGCCTGGTGTCTGTAAAACATCAAGATCAGCCTGCTTAGGAATTCCACAACCCAGACAAGGAAAGAAACCCTTACATGAGCTCTCAACTCACTCAACCAGACATGTGAAAATAGGGAGACACAGAGAAGAGAAGCTTCTGCACACACAGTCCAGTTCCCAAACTGGTCCCTGGTCCAGCATGGGTTCTGTGAACTGAAAGCTCAGTCCTCAGACCACTAGGGAACACCTGCCTTTATCTTAAGTGCTCCCAGGGTTGTCTCTATCAAACTAACACTGTAATTAAAGAAAGAGTTCCACCAGCTCTCTGGGGGTAACCCGTGGAGAGCAACAAGCAGAATCAATAAGAATTAAGCCTATGTCAGCCACATAGCCAGTTTCTAAAAACCCCATGGGTCATTAGAAAACAGGCAAGACTACTATAAAAAACTTATCCATAAAATGGCATCCTGCCAGGATGGCATAGGCCTTTTGGTTGATTTTGACCAGAAAATGACATATAAAGTAACCCTTACTCTCATTGTCTCAACAGCAGTAGCAAGAACTTACTGTCATTTAACCATTTGCTCTTGTTCAGCTCTCTGGAGAGTGTCCAATCTATAATCATCTCTTTATTTTCTATCCCTGTAGGTCTCTATTATTCTCCTCTAGACTTCCTCCAGGTTTTCCATGTCCTCCAAACATGGGTCCAGGGCCCTTCAAGATAATAACTGTAAGAATAAGGATACTCTTTAGAGTATCCTTTGGCTTAAAAATCAGATACCCAACTTAAACCAACTTACACAAAAGAGAGGGAGGCAGATTTATGAGCTCATGTAATAAAAAAATCAAGGATGAACGTGGCTTGCAGGAATGGCTGGATCTAACAGTTTAAAGGATGAGGCAGGTGAGATTGACACTGGAGCTTAGCAATAGTACAAAGGTAGTTATTCTCCATAGCTCTGAAAGTTGCAGAAAGGTCCCTGGACTCCTGAGCCCAAACCAGAACCAATCTCTGTAGCCAGAAAGGTAGTCATCTGTCTATGCCCATGGCTGTGGGAGATCCTGGATCAGCACACTTGCAGGAATGGGTGTTCCTGCAGGAAAAAGTTCTGTTAAGACTGCAAGGGGTGCTGGGTAGATAAGCTGTCCACTTGAGTGCTGTGTATCTGTTAGACTTTTAGTCAGCATTCCACTGTCCCTTTCATGGGCACTATCTATTCACATTCACCACAGCCCTCTGAGAAGGGCAGCCTATGGACAGCCACCCCATCTCTCAGCGGGGGAAATGGAGGCTCAGAGATCAAAGGCACCTGTCCAGTAACAGCAGAACTAGGACAATGGACCTGACCTCTAACTGCCGGGCCCAGTCGGGGTGGCACTGACCCTTACCCAGAGAACCCAGTACGAAGGTACGAAGAAGATCAGGGCCTATTCTGGACATACTCTGCCATCAGATTATTATGGACACAAACTGTTACAAGTCAGAACTCACTTTTAATCAGCTCACTAAAATATCCTGGATGTTTATGGTTTCTCTCCTGAACCCCCTCACAGTCCTGTCACTTTTTCCTGATACTTGGAACAGAGAGGAAGAAGTAAAAAATGGAAGAACTCCTCTATATTCCTACTGACTATGGGGCAAAATGGAATCTCTGTCCACATTAACTCCCCTTACAAGGATTTCCCTGGGTTTGGTGGGGTAGGGGGTGGGGATATCCCAGTATCTAGATGAGCCCAAGGGGCTTGGTGTCTGAGGTCCCACTGGCCAGGTGAGTTCTCAACCATACAGGCCCATCCTCTGCAGAGACATCACTTGTTCATGGGGTGCCCCTGCCCAGCTGCAGTCCTGTAGGAGGCACAGAAACCTACCACTGTAGGAACCCACCAGCTCTAGACTGAGGAGGCTGTAGGAAGGCAGGGAGGGTCCAGCCTCTAGCAGGCTCAGTGAAAACAGTCCAGTCTCACAAGGAAATTGGGAAGTCAAGGTTGAGAGTCCAAGCTCTGGCTGCAGACAACCTTACTTCAAAGCCAGGTTCCACTGTTCACTGCCTGTGTGCCTCCAGCAAGCAACCTAAGCCTTCTGGGCCTCAGTTTACTCACCTACACAAAGGGATAATAGTGGCCCATAAATCTCATAGGGTTGTCATGTGAATTAAGTAAAACTGAATCCATGCGAAGAGGTGAGCATATGGTCAGAGCATACTAGCATACAGTCAAAACATATAGCTATTATTGCTGCTGTTGTTATTTTATTACATATTGATGACTACTTCTTCTCAGAACAAAGCTGACCTCAGCATTCTCAAGCCTACCACAGGACTCAGTGGTGCGGTAGACCGAACGGTGCTCCTCTCTCCCCCAAAGAGCTCCACTTCCTATTCCCTGGAACCTGCAAATGTAACCTTACATGGCAGACAAATGAATTTGCAGGAGTGACTAAATTCAGGCTTTGACAATAGGGAGATCTTCCCGGATTATCCAGGTGGGGCCAAAGTACTCACAAGGTGCTTACAGGAGGCAGGCAGAGGGTCAGAGTCAGAGGAGGAGCTATGACAAAAGAAGCAGAGGTAGGAGGGGTACAGTCCTGAGCCAAGGAAAGTTAGGAATCCTCTAGAAACTGGAAAAGCCTCCTCCTCTAGAGCTTCCAAAAAGAATACAGCCTGTCCAATGCCTTGATTTTTGGACTTCTGACCTCCAGACTGTAAAATACCAAACTTGTGTTGTTTTAAGCTATTGAGTGATGAGGATCACTGTGACCTTGACCACCACCTTCAAGCCACGGATGGAGGGAATATTTGATTAAAGAACGCTCAGAAGAAAGCCTCCCCATGCTCTAAAAGCACCCCCTTCACATTTATGTCTTCATCACATATTTATCACATGTCTACTCTTGCGAATAGCCTGTGGTGACACTCAACAAGGGGCTTGCCCAACACGCGGGCTCCCTCCATCCTTCTGGTGGGCTGTCCCAAGCCTGTCGGATTTTCATGGGTGAAATAGTCTGAGTCCATTTCTCATGTTGACCACTGACAGCTTTCAAGCCCTGCCCCTCTCCTCTCTCTTTTGCCCCAAGTGTAGGCAAGCTGGTAAGAAAGCCCAAATGCTGGCTCCCTTGGCACTTGTGGGAGAAGTTCAAACCATTTACCCTCTGGCCCACACGTGGGAGCCCTCATCCTGGTCCCAACCCACCACCACCACAATAAAAGCCAGAGTCACCCCTCCGTATCACATTCACATTTCACTCTAGACCAAACCTAAGCCCTTCTTGGGGAAACCTTTTGCTAGTTATTATCAGTAATAAACTTTATTTCACATCCATCAATTCCTATGTGTCATTCATTGCAACATCCACAAATGCCTCCATAGGAAGCTGCTTAGCATTCAGCAGGGGATACTAGGTGTCCAAATAAATCATATTGTGCTTATTGCCTCAAAGTCACAAGATAACTGCTTTTGTTCCAGACATTCAAAACCATACAACATTCAAGAAGGAACAGGAAAACACTAATCAATTTCTAAAGAAAAATTTCTTAGAAGCTCTCCAGAAGATTCCCCTTCACCTCTCATGTCTTGTGTCAACTCTAGCTGCAAGGGAGCCTGGGAAAGCAAGACCTCACGTTTCCAGTCTCTCAAGTAGAGGGCAGGTAAGAGCTAAGGGTGTTGGGAATAGTGTTTTATTAGCCATGGGAGCTAATAAAAATAAACAATATTTACTGAGCATTTACCATGTACCCACTCTCCAAGAACTTCTGCAACTTCATTGCATATATTACCTAATTTGATCCTCCCAATAACCCTATGAGGTAGGTACTATCATCCCCACTTTTCAAATTGAGGAATTGAGGCCCAGAGAGATTGGGTTCCTTGCCCAAGATCACACAGAACTCTGAGGGCAACAGGATTTGAATTCAGGCCAATTCTACAGCACAGGCCCTTAATTACTACCTTAAATGGCCTCCCTCAGTGGGTGACAGCCACCGTCAACAACTGTTTGTCAATACTCTGATGTACTCACATTTGGCACAAAAAGGAGCAAACACCTAGAGGCCAGGCAGAGAGCCCCCACCAACCCCCACTGACCATACACAGCCCTGGCAGCTCCAAAAGGGAAGGAAATAGCCAGAGCCCCTGACCTCTGTTGCTAACTCACCAGCCTGGGGAGTCTGAAAGACTTCATGTTCCAACCAGCATTAGCCTTGGGAAGAAGTCTGTGTTGCTGACACTCCAGCCCTCCAACCTTCGCTCTCCATTATTCTCCACCTAGAGAAAGGGCCACCAACCACTTCCACCATTCATGGCTAGGGGTCATGGTTTGAAAGTCAATGAGACTCTGACTTGCCCCCTCTGGGCACTGGAAGGTAGCTGCCAGCTCAGACTGGTGCGAAGGATGCAAGGCCCACCACTCAGGAGTAACTGACCAGAGGGCTCCTGGCCAACACCCCCACTGGTGACTTTCATTTCTAGAACAGCAAGTGCACAAGGAAAACAAAACCTCTAGCACCAGGCCTATGTTGTGGGGGACAGGGCTCAACATCCACACTTCTGGATCCATTTGTGTATCCATTTGTCATTCTGTTTGGGTGTATGCTTAAAGTGTTAATTGTGGTGAGTGTCAGCATGCAAACTACACTACCCTGCCATTTTTACTACCTTGTGTTGGCATGTCTGCATTTTAAAAATTTCCTGGAAGCCTTTTAATTTGGAAATAGCCAGGCCTTAATTTCAAAGAGACTGTGCCTATGCCCACATGTGGAGGAATTCATAAGCTGCACTTCCTCCTTCTCCAGAAGACACTGGGTAGGTGTGCGAGCAGGGTACCCCACCCTGGCTGGGGAGCTTTAAAGAATAAAAACAGGAAATCATAATGTCATGTTTCCCCTATATGATGTGATGAGACTGGCCCTTCACCTCTGTGCGATTCTTCCCCAAATCCATAACCCTATTCTAATCACAAGAAAACATCAGACAAACCAAAATTGAGAGACATTGTACCAAATTCCTGAACTGTCCTCTTCTAGAGTGTCAAGGTCATGAAAAACGAGGGAAACCTAAACAACTCTCACAGAGCAGAGGAGACCAAGGAGACACGACGACTGAATTTGACATGGTAACACTGGGAGGACATCAGTGGGGAAATGAGTGAAATCTGAATCAAGAAGCTAATAGTACTGTACTAATGTTAATTCCTTAGTGTTATAAAGGTATTGTGGTTATATATGATGTTAATATCAGGAAAAGCTAGGGGAAGGGTATGTAGGGACCCTCTGTGAACTATCTTTGCAACTCTACTGTAATTCTAAAGTTATCTCAAAATGAAAAGTTAAAAGCAAAACAAAATATAATTCAAAATGCCCAGCCCTCATTCAAACCTTAAATTAAACCACAATCTTGGACAATCAAAGCTTTCCTGTGATTCCTGTGTGCAGGTAGGTTTGAGAACCTGGAGGGCTTATTAAAACAGATTGCTGGGCTTTTGTTTCCGATTCAGAAGAATCATCTCCCAGGTTCAGCTGCTGCTGGTCCAGGACACCTTCAGGACCTCTTGCCTGTATCCTTACAACTCAAAGTGTGGGCCACAGACCCACCCAGATCCACCGAGTCAGAATCTGTGTTTGAACAAGAGCCCAGGTTATTGATTTTTACATGAAAGTTTGAGAAACACTGTTCTAGAATGAAAGAGCAGGGAGAGAGGATAGAGAAATGGGAGCTGGAATGGCAGAGGTCAAGGGCTTACTACCCAACACTTTGCCAGTCTTCGCAGCCTGGCCTCCCACCTAGGGAAGGAGAAAATAGGAAGGCACATCAGAGGAACTACCAGGCCACTATTAAGCCAAAGGCAAGACCGGACAGAGTGTTTTCTGCCCCCAGCAGTGCTGGCCAGGGGCACGGTGACCTGGCAGGGCAGGGTGAGCTGACAGCAGGGGCTGAGGCAGCCTCCAGAAAAAAAAGGCCAGGAGCAGTCACTGCAGGAAAATGGGCATCACAGCTATAGCCCAAGGTTTATTTAATGCTTACTCTGCTGAAGGCTGACCCCACCCCCTTTACAAAAGGGGAGAGTGCCAACTAGTCAGTGCAGCTTATAACAGGCCTCACTTCACAGGAAGAAAGGACAGAGGAAATGAGGTGAGAACAGCCTTTTTGAACACATGGGCTTTCACCAAAATGTCTGCAGACTTCAGGCTTAGGAAACTGGGCATCCCACAGTCCCCTTTGGCCAGTGATCAGTAGCAGTCACCCCCAGTCACCTTGCATTCAAAGCCTCTCCTTAACTATCAAGATCCTTCTGATGCAGCCCAACACACCTCATTGCTCCAACAGGCCAGGCTGCAGAGAACACGCCACTCTCTGTAGCCATTTGTCCAATTAGGATCTTGCCCAATCACCAGCTCCCAAATGCAGACCCTAGCTCGTCCTTATGGCTGTATCTTGAGATCACTGAAACCCAAGGGTCTCTCTGCTTGGCTCTATTTAACCCTCCTCATATTTGCTTATACTGAGGGAAATTCTGAACTTCCTACAAAGTCCTGCCCCTAAGTGTTGGATTGGGTGCCCCTTGGAGGCACTTTGGTTCCCTGCAATGTCATTAGATGCTCACATTCTTGGAGGCCTCACTGTGACAGGAGGGCCCTGGGCTGTCTATAATGCTGAAAATGGCATCTCTGAACCTGGGAGTCGGCTCAGACTCTGAGGAAATTAACCTGGCAGTCAAATAAGGCCACATGCCTCATGGAGGCTGAGTTGGGCATGTAGTTTTTTTAATACACAGATTTCAACATCCCTGAAAACAAAGTATTCTGAGATTCTAAATAAGTGTGTGTTTATTAAACATTTACTAAAAGCCAGGACATTTGAACTTACTATGAGCTGAGCACATATCTGAGAGGATCTAGACAGAATGTGCCAAAGAGCTGGAATTTCCCCTCCACCTAAAAAGAGGAGGGGGGCAGGGAATAGCCATGCTGCCCCAGTCAAAGAAACCAACACCTAAGTTGAGTAAGTATCCAAGTGTTAAAAAAGGAAACACTCTTCAGAGTTGATGGTGACTTCCTGACACACTGTCTTTGTTGGGAAAAAACAGTCATGGGATTTTACTGGGATACACTAAACCCAAATCAATTCATGGCAAATTTCACAGGACAGAGAAGGGATCAGGGCAAAGGTACCACACAGAAACTCATCCAAGCTATCTCTGAACTGCATAACAGAAACTGGGAGAAAATCCCCTCCTATGGCTCTGGGCTCCAGGAATGGCCCCACCTGGTCAAGCAGTAGACACAGTCAACAAAGACATAGGCCAGCAGCACAGGAGGAGAAGGCACCAGGGTGACTGCTATATAATAGAGAATCCGGCCTTTCTCCCTGGTTTCCAGGAGATAATCTCTCACTCCTTGGAATTTCTCAGTGATAGAAGTACCTTTGTTTCTCACGCTGTGCCCCTTAGATCACACCCAAGTTTATACTAGATGACTCAGAATGAGTCCTACCTTCTCTGAGGAGGGGAGGGAAGAGGAGCTGCAGATGGAATTCAATCATGTAGTCAATGATTCAATCAACCATGTCTATGAAATGAAACCCTGATAAAAACTCTGAATGCTGAAGCTCAACAAACATAGATACGATGAGAGGGTGTGTCCCAATTCCACAGGAGACTTAGAGGCTCTACATTCCAGACCTTCCTAGACCTCACCTTATGTCTCTTCATTTGACTGATTCATAGCTTTTATAACAAAACTAATCACAAGTATAGTGCTTTCCTGAGTTCTGTGGGTCATTCTAACAAATTATTGAATCTGGGGGCTGTAGGAACTCCCACATTTGTAGTCGGTTGGTCAGAAGTACAGTTATCCTGGGAACCCCCAGCTTGGGTCTGCAGTGAGGACAGTCAGATGGGGACTGTGCCCTGGAGCCTGTGGAGTCTACACGAATGCTGGGTGGTATCAGAATTGCATAGCAGTTTGTAGTGCCCCAGGTTCATCCTAGCTTAAGCCTCAGCGAACAACCCGGACTCCATCTGCATTTCCAGGACTTTCTGTCTCCTTTACCTATCCTCTCCCCTACCTCCACTGAAAATCCAACTTCCTCTGTAATCAGGGTTTTTGAGGACCAATTCAGGCACATGTGACAGCTCAGGAAGCAAGTGCGACCCACAGCTACAGCACTGTGGAATACGAACTGAAGCATGGGCCACCGCTTAGCAGCTGTGCTTGACTTCAGGCAAATTACTAACCCTCTCTGAGCCTCAGTTCACATCTCTGTGAGATGAGGCTAGTGGGCCCTCCCCCTCATAGGACTGATGGTACAATTCAGTGATGTAACTTATTTACAAAGAGCCAGACATGGTCTCACACATGTGGAAGGCATTCAGTAATCACCAGCCAACTCCCCTCTGACTTTCAAACAGCCCTGTACCCCAAACTCTCCCAAACTTTCTACTATCCCTAGATAACTGTTTTGAGAGTGCCAGGCCCACTGACAACATGCTGATGGTTTAGATCCCAGGACACAATGAAACCAACCATTAAACCAAAAGTGGAAAGCAAGTAACCATTACCTTGAACAAAAAGGACATTTATATTTACTTCAGTGGCTGTAAAAGACACCATAAAATATAATATGCAGCAGGCATCCTCATGATTAATATGAGATCTTGCAAATTATTCTCTCAGGTCCCTGGGTGCATCCAACTGGTCACTAAAAACAATTAATTCTTTCAGGAAATGAAGTGATTGCAAATCGTCTCTGGTCAGTGGAAAATCTGCTTGTATTGTGAATAAAGAGAATAGAAAATGAGACTAAAATTCAGAGTTTTTCTGCCCCTGTGAATGGGGTGAAGTAAGATTAAAGAGACTTAAGTACAGTTACTGCCTGTGAGCACAGGTGCTCAGTGATGGTAGGACGTGCCAAATCTGGGGTTTGGGGGATGTGGAGACCACACAGATGCAGAAGACAGAGCAGAATTTGGGGATGTCCCAGACACGGGAGCAGGTGGGTGAGCTGGGGGTGATGCCATGCTGGCAGCAGGCAATAAGGTGGAAGTTCAGAGTCCAGACAGGGCACATGGGGGTTTCAGAGGGGAACCCCAACCACAGTGACCAAAGTTTAGACTAGAGTCTCCAGGGCTAGGGGTGAATGAAGAACCAAAGAGCTACATCAGGAAGCAATTAGAACAAATCAGCTGCCAGGTCACAGGCAAGGTGAGGACCCAGGAGAACCAAAATCACATGTTTCAGCTGAGCCTCCCCGTTCCTGGCCTTGGGCTTCTTAGCTTCTCTGACCACAGTCTCAGAATCCTGAGAAAATGCAGGAAGTGGCCAACAGTGGAAAGCTGGTAGGATTACAGGATCAAGGTGCCAAGCAGACCATGATGGAGCATAGGGTCCAAGCCTACTCTTACTTACCGGCCAAGGTAGTGATCTCACCGATTAAGCCCTTGCCGGCAACTGTGCCGAGGTGTTTACTGAGACACAGTACATAAAACACCAAAGGGGTCACCATGAGAGCAGTGAGCACACAGCTGCAACGGAGCACACCTCAGAGGCCAAGCCACCTCACTGAAGTGTAATGCCTCTGCGGAGTGGCAGGGCAAAGAGAGGGAACCTGTTCTCTAGCCAGCTCAGAAACCATGCTCTCCTCTGACAAAGTCAGACTTCCTACACGTTGAATGTAGGAATGCATGTAGGAATTCAATGGGATTCATGGTCCACCCTGACAAAAGGAAAGGTTATTGGGCGTGGGGGTACATTCAACCCTATGGCACACCCCTGGAGTGGGGAAGCAGACTGTCGTACCACCTCCCTGGTAAAGAGAGAAACCTACTGCCTGGTACAGGTTGGGGACCCAGAGACAAGGCATTCGGAGGTGGGGTATAATGGTGCCAGGGACAGTGACTGTGGGGCTCCAGGCCACCATGTGGCAGAAACCAGGCAAGCCGGCTGAGACACAACCAAAGAATGAGGAATGAGAAGTCTGCTTGCCCACAACAGGCCACACACCAGAAAGGAGAAGGAGCAGCAAGTCCTCAGTGTGGAGCAGGCAACAGCCAGCAGAGCAGGGCCAAGAGCCAGCCAGCCAGCCTCAGCCCCTTCACACGCAGTGCGAGTTCATGAAGGTTGATCTGCCATAAGCGGAAGGCTTCGCTGACGGAGATCTGGGTCCTTCTGAAGAACGAACAGGTACGCTTCCTCTTGTGCCTGCAGGAGGGGCAAGAAGGAAGGAGAGAACGAGAGATGAAGAGGCACCAGCACTCAGTACCACTTAGAAAAATGGAAGGTTTGCCAACTCACCAGCTCCCTGCCCCAGTGGGTGACTCCTGTTCATACCATTATACCACTGCCCAACAGGGGACCAGAGGAGCTCAACTATCCCAAAGGAGTTTTCCTTTAAGTGGAGAAAGCAAAAGGAGGTGTTTCACAGGGTATCAAAAGGACCATGGACCCATTGGGAACAACTTTCCAATGTTCCTCTTTTTCTAAACGTATACTCAACATACGCCAATCTGCAATCCCACAAACTCAAATACAAAGCCTTCCCAAATGTTCTGAGGGTAAGAGTTACGTGGAAGATAAGTCAGAGAGGCTGAAGCCATTATGGATTCAGCCCAGCTCAATGCCTTCTTGCACCAACAAAAGGACATGATGAAAATTGGTGTTTAGGAAGATTACCTGGTATTCGAGACTTTGTTTCCTGAACCCTCAGAGGAAGAATAAATCATGTCCTGCCCTTCCCATGTGTAGTCTATTTTGTGTACTCTAATTCAATATTTGAGAGTGGGCATGATGCATGTGCTTAACTCTCCCTTCACCAGTTTGCCAGAAGGACCCACTCCCGCCTCGGAGGGATGCGCCAGGAGTCGACCACAGTCTAGGCCTCCTCTCTCCGGTGAGAACATTCAGCCAGAGCATGGCCCTCCCATGTACCTGCCACACACAGGCAGAAGGACCCAGAACCGTCACTCTTCTACCAACCACCTCCCTGAGGAAGCACTCTTCCCTCCCTCATCAACACAGCAAAGGCGCTGAGGCATCTAAAAAGATCTCTGAGATCCCAAGAGAACCTGCTGGCAACAGTTTCCTGAGTCACAGCCATACCCGCAGGGAAAAGAATGCTGGCCCCACTGCCTGGCCAATCCTAGGGAGAGAGGTCCTGGGACCAATCAGAGACAGGTTGTACATCAAGGCCTTCTGATCCCAAGCCCAGGGACACTTAGATGGGGGCTGAGACTCTCAGAAAACATCTCAAACTTTACTGAAGGTATGAATAGCCTGGGAAGCTTGACCAGGAGGGTGAGGTCCTAGAAACTGCCATCTTTGACAAGTGCAGGTGGCTCTGTGGACCACCCAAAAACAGTGCCCTGAGGCATCAGCAAATTCACCAGAGCTAGTTTCTGCCCTAACTTTCCCTGCAAGGAGAGCTATAGATTGGGGAGCTTAGGCAGGGCCCTGGGGACTGGTGGGACAAAGTGGTGGCAAACGGGACCCCTGGGGCCAGCCAGGGAGCTGGGAGGAGAGGAGAGGCCAGAGCCCACACTCACGCAGCCAGTGCTCTGACGCAGCAACGCGACATGCTGAGGAAGGAGCTGGAGCTGGCACGCGTGCTGAGGGCGGCCTCAATGCCACGCAGCAGGTCGTTGGTCTTGAAGATGAGAAGCATCTGGCGCGGCACATCGTTGAGAAGCTGGCTGATCTGGGGGAGGTAGTTGGCTGCATTGTTGCGGATCTCTGAGTCCTGAAACAGCAACAGGGAGACAGAAATGGACAGCTGATGTGGGAGGTGGGGCCCAGGGTAGTGGGTATCCAGGCAGCCTCTGACCTGAGGGGCTACAAAGAAGCTCCAAAGGGAGTTCTAGCACGGCTGCCCTGGCACCCCAGAATCCTCCCCAAAGGGAATCTTAGCACCAGGGGCTTTGTAGCCTGACAAACCTGGATGGGACATCTCACCTAAATTCTGGCCCATCACTGGACGCAGTACAGGAACACATCAGTGGAGCCAGGCTGTGTTTCTGCTGCCTCTGTTGTCCCTGTCTCCCTCAGCCAAGCCCACTGATTCCCATCCCGGAAACCAGCACTGATCACGGCAGGAAGTCTACCTCCCCACCAAACATTTGATAAGGCTGGAGTCGGCCGGCCTCTCAGGCCAGGGGGCCACCCTCCTGTTACTCTCCTGGGCTTCTTCCCTAGCCACACTTTCAGGCCAGGCCGGGAAGAAGGTCTGCAAGTGGGAACTGGCTGAGTTGCGGCTCCCATCATCCCTTCAGCCAAGCCCAGGATGGTGCAGCTCATAGGTCTCAGCTCCTGACCCAACTCAACTCCAACATCCTGCCCTGTACCTTGCCTGATCCCATGCCCACCAGGCCTACCGAGGGCTCCTGCTGCCCACATAGGCCTGCCACCGTCCTCCATGCTGGAAGCTGTCTCAGCCCACCAAGTGCTGAAGTTGTGATGCCCAAAGAGCAGGATCCAAGGCTAGTCCTCAACCCAGCCTGTTGTTCAAGTTTGGGGTCTGGCTTCCCACTCTTCCCTGTCCCTGAGTTTTGCCTGGCTCTGCGCAGACACTGAACATGACAGTACAGCTCTGACCCTTCTCAACCTCCAGAGAAATGACAGTGGTGATGACAATGCCAACACACACTAAATATTCACTAAGTGAGCTGTGCACAGGTATTAGCTCAGTTAATCTTTACAACAACCCTATCAGGGAGTGTATCACCCCTATTTGGGCGGGAGAATCTGAGGCACTGAGAAGTTAAGTAAGCTGCCCACAGTCCACAGCTAGTAAGTGGTGAACCAGGATTCAAACTCTAGCAGTCTAGCTCCTGAGCTCATGCCTTCACCACCAGGCTATCCTGCCTCTCAGCTCACAGCGGGACTGTGTGACCCTCAGTAAGTCCTTCCATCTTTTCCAACCCATATCCTCACCTAAAAATGGAATGCTAATGCCCTCCACGTCCACCTCCCAGCAGTACCAAGAGGGTCATCAGAGATAAGGGATGGGGAGGCGGTCGGTGCCAATCGAAGTCACGATGAGGACCCCAGAGCACTGCCAGAGGCTCCACCACCTGCCTGCTTTCTGCAGCAGAAGCAGAACTCTCAGCCCCTTCAGGAACATGTGTGAGCTGCTGCTAACTGAGTTGATGTGGAACTTGAAATGTCCCTCAGGCAGCGGCTATCAGACTGGAACATCTCCACGAAGCCAAACTCCAAGAGGCCATCTCCCTCCTCAGTGCCTTCTGCCACAGCTGTAGGGCTAAGATTAAGGCCCTGCTCACCACAGACACCCCCCTCTCAGCAAGGTCAGGCCTGGCCTTGTGGCAGCCCCTCTCCGCCCAAACAGAGTACAGGTGCCCACCCAGGCTATCTTGCAGAGCATCTCTCAGAGGACAGCCTCCAAGGGTGGACACATCCTAATGGTGGGTATCTGTAACAGACCCTGCTGGGTGCCTACACAGCACCCCCATTCTCCTTGTTAAAAGAACCCACTATTGTTCACGACCCCTGGGGCATGCCCTTCAGGGAAGCAGAGCCCATGCCCAGCCCCAAGGAGAGAATCTTGATTGATTGATCTCAGCCAATGACCACTCTGAGCTCAATGCCACTGCCAAGTGATTGTGCTTCTGATCTGGCCAATGAGACACAAGGAGGAGTCAGCTGGGGACTTCTGGGAAAGCTTTTCTTTCTCTTAAGAAATGTTGCATAAGAAATAGCCCCTTATTTTCACCACAGAATGAAGATATAAAACTAGGAACTGCCATGGTCATCCTGGAGTTGAGAGAGAAAAGCCCAGAACCCTGAGACTCTTGATCTACTCAAAAACCAACCTGGACCCACCCACCTCCAGGCTTCTTATTATGGAGAGACCAAATCACTGATTGTTTAAGCCACTTCTGGTTGGGAAAACATCCTCCGTGATTCCTGGAGTTGAGAGAGAAAAGCCCAGAACCCTGAGACTCTTGATCTACTCAAAAACCAACCTGGACCCACCCACCTCCAGGCTTCTTATTATGGAGAGACCAAATCACTGATTGTTTAAGCCACTTCTGGTTGGGAAAACATCCTCCGTGATACCATGTTGGAGGTTCCCTAATTCTCAATAAGACTAGGACACAGAAGAACTGAGCCCTTACATCTCAGGCTGCTGGCCCGGAGTAACCAGCTTTCTTCTCTCTGGGCTTTTGTCCACAGTGAGCAAATGGAGTCCGTGTCTCCAGAACCTAAACAAACACCTCTCCACCAGACCTGGTCCTAGGTCTGCAGGGACCTTATAAAAAGATGTACAAGACAGGACCCCTACCCTCCAGGTACACACCAACTAGTTAGAGTTATTTTAAAGATACAAGTAACTACTCTGTGAGGAGTATAAGGTACTTACCCAGAAGTGATACAAGTACGAAGGGACCACTTTTGGCAAAGGTGGTGAGGAGAGGCTTCCTGGGTTGGTGCTCTGGACAGAATTATGCTCCCCAACCCCAAATCCCTATGTTCAAGTCCTAACACCAATGTGACCATATTTATAAACAAATTAAATCGAAGTTCAATGAATTCATAAGGGTAGGGCCTTAATCCAATAGGATCAAAGTCCTTATAAGAAAAGGAGGAGACATGGGAGCGAGCACACACACACAGGAAAGGCCATGTGAGGACGCAGCGGGAAGGTGGCCCTCTGCACACGAGGAAGGGAGGCCTCACCAGAAACCAACACTGACACCACCTTAACCCTGGACTCCAGCCTCCAGAACTGTGAGAAAATAAATTTCTATTGTTTAAGCCACCCGGTCAGTAGTATTCTATTATGGCAACCCAAGGAGACTAATACAGTAGCATGTACACTGGGTCTTTATGAGTGAATAAGAATGCAAAATAAAATTCTTACTTTATTAATAAAAATAGGTATCATTTACTAAGTGCCCACTGTGTGCCACATGGTCTTGTCCAGCCCGGTGGCTTTAAATACCAACTATATGCTGAGGACTCCTGAATTTATATCTTCAGCCTGGATCTTCTTTGAACTCCAGGCTTAACCACACACACCTCTATCTGAATGCTCAAGAGAACTACTGACTACCGACTGTGTCCTTCTCAAAGTCTTCCCTATGTCAGGAAGTGGCACCATTCCCAGCCCTATGACTCACCCCAAAAAAACAGGAAGCATCTTTGGCCCCTCCATTTCCTCTGTGCCACACCCCAGCCAACAGAAAGGCCTCTCAATCTTCTGTCCAAAACACATACTACCTTCCATCTGCTTCTGTCCACCTCCACCACCACTGGTGTAGTTTGGGCCCCCAAAATCTCTCCGGCCGCAGCCCCACCCCAGCCTCCTAACTAATTGTGCCATTGCTCATCTCACCTTACTCCAGAGAGGTACTTAAAACAGCAAGTCTGAGCATGTCCTTCTGCCTAAACACCTGTCAAAGGCTTTGCTTTGTATTGAGAATTCATCCGAACCTCTTTCCATGGCATATGAGGCCCCGTGTGGTGCTCCCCCGCCCAGTGCCCCAAGTCCTCCTCATCCGCCATCCACCCCACTGCACTCCAGACACACCAGGGTCTTTGTTCCTGCAGGCTGAGTGCCTGGGGTGCCCTCCACTTGGAGCGCTTTCTCCAAGCTCTCCCTGTGGCTAGTACCTTTCTTGTCCTTCAAGCCTCAGCTTAAATGTCAACTCCTCAATGACATCTTCTCTGAGCACCCCCATTACTTACCACCATGGCCCCCTGCTTGTTTCTTCCCTGGCGCCTACAACTTGCAGTTACTCCACTTACCTGTTTATTCACTTGTTTACTGTCTGTCTCCCTCAACTCCAGTGCAAATTCCACGAAGGCCTGTCTGCCTGTTCATCACCAGATCCTCAGCATGTAGTCTGGGGTCCGGCAAAGATAAATGTTTGTTTAATGAACAAACTTCAGGAACTACGGGGAGGTACTGTACATGCCTTATCAATAAAGCAAAAACTATCATCCCTAATCAACAAAGGAAGGAGATTGTCTCTCTTCTTTTGAGGTGACAAGCTTTAAAGCTACTTAAGCCTGTAGGAGTTGGTGGTCATTTTCACCACCTAGCTTGCTGGGGAATAATGTCAACTTGGAGGAAAGCAGAGCCAAGAGATGATGAGAGGTGGCCTCCTCATGACAATATTTGAGACTCTGGATCCAGCCATTTCTAAAGCCCCCTTCCATAGGCAGCTTATGGGGCCCTGAGGCTCAAAGAGGTGACAAGAGGTATCTTATCCAAGGTCATGCCACCAGGAAGAGCAGGTGCCGGAACTAGAATCCAGGTCTTTCTGACTATATATGCAGGCCCCTGTCCCTTGTGATGAGCGGGGACTTGAGCTGAGCCTAAACCCGTCTGCATGTGCATATGGACAAGTGCACGTGGTCTGGCAAACTGACAGACTGGGAAGACAGTCAGTGCCATGAGAGATTGAGAAGCCAGGGAGGGAGCTCACCCTGAGCCAGAAGAATGAGCCACCGTGTAGGTGCCTGCCAAGGGGGCAGAGGGAGGGTATGCGTCCCAGGAGGGCTCGTCTCAGCCCAGACTCCAAGGCACTCTTGTCTAGAGTCAAAGGAGAACAAGCTGCAAAGGACGACTGGAAAAGCCACTTCCCTAAAAACCACTGGACAACAGGACAAGAAGCACTGCCTGAGGAACTGGAGCGTACCCAGTGCCCCCGCCAAGTCAGGTGCCCTAGAGGAGCCACACAAGGGAGACAGTGCCCAGATACAGGAGGGGGTGCCAGCCTGTTTAGGAGACAGTCCCTGGGCTGTCCCACAAGTCCTGGGGGAGAAGTTGGCAGAAGAACCTACAAGTAGACTGAAGCAAAAGCCACAGAGATCTGGATGACACAGTCAACAGGACCCGTCCCTACTCTGGGTGATGAGGCTCTGTAGGATACAGCGGAACACAGTTCCCTTCCCCTCCATCCATCAATGGACACTGTTTCTCCTCTGCTCTCTTTCCCACCCAGCATACCTCCAATTCTGCCAACCACCTACCCCTAGAGCCCACCAGTCTAGAATCTCAGACCCTGGGCTGGAAGGGGTCTGAGGGCCATCCCTGCCTGCCCCTTGCATTCGGGAGAGGGCAGGGCCGGGAGGGGCCCACCTACCTCAGTGGCAGTGACTGGCGTTTGGCCGATGCCCTTGTTGACCGAGTCCCACGACCGGGCTGTCAGCATACAAGCAAACAAGGGGTAGAGATGGCCCGCTCCCAGGCGCTGGCTATACTTCCTCACCCTCCTCATGTCAGTCCAGATCAGCGACTGCCAGAGGCGGCAGTAATCCAGGCGGAACTCTTCCGTGAGCACCTGTGGCGGGGCAGCCACAGCAGAACCTGAGCCACCTCTCTCCGTGAAGGACCTGGTCCCCAACCCGCGTGGCCATGGCGAAGGGGGCAGTGGATAAAGACCGTGGCTCCTGCACAACCTGTGCTTCTGGCCCAAAGTTCAGCCATCTCTGAAGGTCCAAGTTCAAAGCCACTATTTGGCCAGCCTTGGTCCTGAGCAGCACAGACTACCAACTGCCCACCAAAATCACATTCCCCGCCTCTCTCCTAGTTAGATATGGCCCTCTGCCTGAGCTTCAGTGAGACAGAAGCTCCACTTCCAGGCCCAGCTCCTGAAAAACTTCCCACACATGCTCCCCCACACCCTACCTCTGCTGCTGGCAGATGGGAGGCCTGGGAGGCAGAGCCTCAGTCAGCCCCCGCCTTCAGACTCTTCTACCCACTCGGCAATGAGACGTCTGTGTGCTGGGCCATCATTTGCTTGCAGCCTATGTGTGACAGCAGCTAGCCTACCTTAAACTAATGTACCCACCATCACTGAGCTTTTCAGAGGAGGCCAAGATTTGGGCTGTGGGATTAGGGCCCTGAGAGGAAGAGCAGCAATCAGGGAAACGTCCCCTGGACCGTCTGTCTCATGGATTCAAGCCAGACCCTGGGTTCTGGGATTGGCAGTGAACTTCCAGCTTCTAGGCAGGAACTCATGGTTCATCCTAACCAGCTCTGTGCCCCAAGTTCCAGAGGACAGAGTCTGGGGCCATCCAGCATCTTATCAGTTCCCAGCCCCCTTTTCCACTATATATCACCTCCTCGCTGGGGCTGAGTCAGCCTCCCCCTGAAGGCCCAGGTCCTCGAAGGGCAATTCATGTCCGAGGGACTGGGCTAGCCTGGGCTTCCCTGGGTAGCAAGGTTTCTTTACAGTTGAAAAAGCACTTTTGAATATGGAGGCACATGTTCCCATGTACTCCTCACAATAGCCAGTAACAGAAGTATCATCAACCTCACTTGATTGAAGGAAGCTGAGGTTCAGAGAATTTGTTGACCTGCACAAAATGATGACTCTAAGGGTAGGGCAGGGCCCTCTCCAGCTCCCTTAGCTATCTGGCCCCCCAACTCCATGCCTGATAGGGGAGTTCAGCAGGCTCTGATACCTGGCCAGACCAGACCTGGGGCTGGCTGAGTGGGAAAGACCTCTACTACCTGGTAGAGCCCATGATCCAACAGGACAATCTCTGCCTTTTCTGTGCCCGGACGTTTCCGCACCAGCACATTGCCTGGGTGGGGATCGCAGTGCACAAAGCCATTGACAAAGATCATCTCGCTGTACATCTTGCCCAGGTGGCGTGAGATCTGAAAGAGAAGGGAGGCAGGTGGGTGGAAGTGGTGCCCCATTAACACCTATTGCAGACTTCCACTCTGGTCCCTCAATCCGGTCACTTTCACAAGCAAGTCCAGAAGCACTGGGTGGACCTGAGCAATCATGGTGGAAATGACGGCTTCAGATTGTGTAGTTCTTGAGTTTAAGATAGAAGCTGAGTGCCAATCTAGTTCTTAATTTTAGCCACACATTAGAATCACCTGGAACTCAGAAATGTTGGGGATGGTACCCAGGCATGAGTAATTTTTTTTAAGTCCCCAAGGTGATTCTAATGCATGGCAAGGTAAAAGAAACACTGCCTCTGTGTTTTCTGAAGGCTATAACTCCCACCTCCCATGCCCACCCCTCCATTCTTCCCTGATTTCTCTTCCCCCTATTCTCTTATCAATCTCTCTTTATTTTTTTCCCCAAAGCTGAAATGGGCTGGAAAGCTGGGGTTGGGTGGGGGGCATTCCACCTGTCCCTTCTCCAGTGAACAAAGCGAGAGGGCTGAGGATTAGGAAGAGGTGACCCCACCATCCTCTGGGGCTGCCCAACCAACTCCAAGCCAGGCCTAGAAGGACCGAGTCACAATCTTCCTGCAGGCGCCTTTCTCTACTCCCCTCCCTGCCAGAACCCAATGCTAATCTGATTTATGATGTCTGCACAGAAGAAATGACACTGGAGAGACCGTTTAAATCATCCTGTCACTGCTGCTCTCCCTGGTGAGGCAGTCTTCTTATCTCTACTCCCTTTTTATTAAAACTAAAAGCCTCTTCACAGCTAGGGAACAGCTGCTGAATAGAGCCAGACCGCGGCCCACAGATGGTCTGCCAATGGGTTTCTGTGGGACAAAGGGATGCTCAACCTAAAGGCTGACGCCCCAGGACACACACTGCCCTTGGCATTCCTCTCAGCCTCAGGCGGACCCCATGGTCACTAACAAACATATCCTGGCCAAAGGAGAGGAGCTGGGGCCCAGGGGTGGGGAACAAAAGATCAGGATCTCAAAATAAAGATTCAACTCCAACTACAAAGTCCTACGTGACCAGATCCAGCCTCCTTCCCTGGTCCTATCTTGTACCATGCTGACACTCCAGCCACATATGCTCTCCTTCTCTTCTCCATTAATCCCTGTGCCTTCCTACCTCAGGGCCTTTGCACATGATATTCCCTCTGTCATGAGCATTCTTCCCATCTCACCTTCACTTGGTTCACTTCTCTCTTCCTTCCCATCCCAGCCCAGCAACCTTCCTGGGGAAGCCTTCCCTGACCTCCCAGCGCAGATGAGGTTCTCCTGCCATAAATTCTCATAAGACACAGCCCTTTCCTTTCATGACACCAGCATACTATCTGTGCCATTATTTGATTAATGACCATGTAATCCCACTACCCAAGCTCCCAACACAGCAGGGACTGGCTTTATTTTGTTAAATAGTTTTATTGAGAAATAATTTATATGCAATAGATTGGTTTATTATGCATAGAATTGCCTGTAACAGGCTAAACATGTGACTAGAGGACTAAGCCTTCAACATTAGTGAGACCCTTCTCTCTGCATTCTTTTGAGATGCTGAGGTTCCCACCTCTGACGCTTACCCTAATACCACTAATCTGCTCTGAATACCAATCAATTATTACTGGCCCTCCCAAAAAGTCATCAAGAATAACCCTACTTTAGTAACAATATCTGACATCCTTATAACAGCTCTAAAAGTAGGTACAATTCTGATCCCCATTTTGCAGATAAAGATCTGAGATTCACTGAGGTTTAACTTAGCCAGAGCTCTATGGCTACACAGAGGTAGGAACCACGAACCAAACCAGGTGTGACTCCACAGCCTTCTAGTAGCCACTATTCTATACTGGCTCACACCAACTCCTGCACTTCTCGATTAAGCTTTGCGACCTTAAACAAGTGCTTATACACTCGCTTCAGTAAAATGGAAATAATAACAGTGCTGCTCCCCAGGGCTACTGCTGGGGTAAAAAAGCCTATCACAGTACTTGGAACCTAGTGACCTCTCATAAATGCCCCTGTTGTTACTGGTTGCCTCTAACACTCCTGGGAGGATGGCAGACTGGGTTTCATTGCACCTTTTTAAGAGATGAAGAAACCATCATATAAGAGGTTCCCAAAGTCCTGACACTTATCTGATGTCACACTGTGCCCTGCTACCATGCCAGTTCTCCAGCTCCTGACGTCCTTGGGTAAAATGAATGCCCACACTCAGTGTCTGTTGGCATTCGGAGCAGGACTTTGACCCACATCAAGTTCTCAGATTCAGGCTGAGCTGCGGGAGGGTCCCACGACCACTGCTGTCTGTTTCTTCGGTGAGGGGCCCAGCCAGAGTTGATTCTGGAGAAACCAGCAAGTCCCCACTCTGCACCACTCAGAAGTCGTTTTGTTAGGCTCTATGGAGCCATGTGCTGAAAGGCTGCATTTGCCAAACCAACTGCATTTATTAAGTAATAATTCATTTTTATTTGTCAAGGATTCATATAAGGTCCAATCAGGGCTCCTGATCAGCCCAAGATAAGCAGCGCAGCCAGACTGAGCTGACAGAATTCCAGCCAAAAGCAGAGAAATGACATTTCATTTAGTCTGGCAGACCTGTCATGGGGAGATGTATGATTTCCCTTAAGCTTTCTGAAATATTGCTAATCGCTCTGGGCCCCCTTTTACTACATTGAAAGATGGACCTTAGGGGTCTGGGGACTCAGGATGGGAGAGCCCTTGCCCATAAGCAGTGAGCTTCTGGTAGCCAGGTCATAAACACACAAGAGCAGCATCCCCCATTTCAATGCTCCATCCAGCTGGCCCTACTTGGGTGTCTTTCCTTTTGGGGGCCGCTCTTAATGTTCACTTTAACCAGATTTCACCAGCATAGACAGGTATGGAAGGCAGAGGCAGGAGGGGGAGCTAGGCTATGCTGCCAGCTTCACTCTGGACCATCGATGTACTGCCACTTAGGGAATGGATGACCTGGCGGACAAGTCATCTCCCTTCTCAATCTGGGTGTTAAGTTCCCTTAGCTGCAGAGTGCAACTTACCCCATCTGCTCTAGTTCCTCACACAGCAACCTCAAGATTCAAGGTCAAAATACAACCACATATGGGAAAGCGCTTTATATACTATAATGTGCTTATATACTATGTAAGACACACAGACATATTTTTTGCAAAATGCAGAGCTTTAAAATATAAACATGGAAAAAATTTTACTCAGTATCACCATCAAAGTGTAATTTTCTAAAGTTAGTGACACAACTCTCATACAAATTTAGAATGAACATGTCAAACACTTTAACTCATCAATGAGGAGCAAGTAATAAGGTAGAGTTGATTCAAAGAGAATTTTGAGGGTCTAGGTATTTATGAGCATTTAATCATGAATAAAAAACTAAGATTCCTAGATTAGATACAAAACTGGTTATTGTTATACAGAACAATAAGGAAATCATAACCTTTGCAGTTATGTTTTCCATGGGGCAAAATTACTTGTATCTCTACCAGATAAGATCTACAGGTTGACATATGACTTCAGTCTGAGCCCTTAATTAATTGTCAATAGCAAAGGCAAACAGAAGTACCTTCCCTCAGATGTTAAAAAATCCTTGGGTGGGCCTCTTGAGCAATGCCTAAGAATGACTTTGAAAGGACATGCTGTACACTCCTGGCCTTATTTCTAGATTTGGGGTAATTTTCATAACATCTGTCAGAGTTGCACTTAAATCTCTGGGAATTTGCCCCAAGAAAGGCAGCCATCCCCTCCTACTCAGGGGCACTAAGGGTCCCAGGAGAACCTATGGCACACAACCCTGTCTCCCAGCCCTTCCATAGTTGAGCTCTGTCTCATGACTGAGAACAAACAATTCTAAGTAAAGCTGCAGAGCACATGGGGATGCGGTACCTCTCCCAGATACTGACTTCGTTTCCTTCAGCAATATGCCCAGAGTGGAACTGCTGGATCATATGGTAGCTCTATTTTTAATTTTTTGAGGAATCTCCATACCATTTTCTATAGCAGCTACATCAATGTACATTCCCACCAACAGTGCACAAGGGTTCCCTTTTCTCCACACCCTGGCCAAGAGTTATCTCTTGTCTTCCTGATGACAGCCATTCTAACAGGAATGAAGTGCTCTCTCAATGTGGTGTTGGTTTGATTGGTGATATGGAGCACCTTTTCATGTACCTGTTGGCCACCTGTACATCTTCTTTGGAAAAACGTCTGCTCAGTTCCTCTGAGGCTGCCCCTTGCCCTGTTGATGGTGGCATCTGTATAAAGATAAGGGAGCACCACCTTTTTGTAATGGTAACAGGCACCATTCCAGGCACTTCCCATGAACTTGCAGCCACCCTCTGCAGCAGATGGGTGAAAGAGGCGAGATACAAAAAAGGGGAAGAAGCTCGGTCACCCGGGCAGGAGTTAGTGAAAGCAGGCTCTGAACCCAGGTGGCTGGGGTCCAAAGAACAACCTCCTCATTGCCAGACCATCCTGCCTGTCCACTGCCAGGGAGGCGCTCCTGCCTGGAGGACGGGCCACAGGAAAACCCTCGGAAGGTCCCCATGGCATCCAAGAAGGCATTCCATTGGGAGAAGAGTTTCAGTGGGAAACCCAGGACTGTCTGTCTAACCAAAAACTCACTGGTAACTCAAGCCGTGGTATACCTCTTTTCTGAAAAGAGGCCAGTAACAAGTCTTTTAACTGATCCATGTAAAAAGAATGTGCTACTCACGTTGAGCAATTCAGTAACTACACAATGCCTTTACTCTCTAACAGTCGTGAGGGGGAAAAACCAGGAATCTATAAAAAGGCTGAGGAAAGAATTAATTTAGTAAATAATATTTAAATCAAGCAGTTATTTTTGGATTTTTCTCAAAACTGGAATTGGCTGAAAGCACTTTAATTATTCTATAATTGCATGGATTAATTTATTCCCACACCCAAAGGAAAATCTATTTATGTTCTTGGGGGTTGTCATGAAGG